CTCTAATTCAAATGCTTTCGCGTCTGCAGTTTCACAGGTTTCGCTTCGGGGTGGGCTCCTCCTGGCCGGCTTCGGGCGCGGCGGCGCGTGGTGGTTGGTGTCTTTTCTTTTTTTTTTTATGCCGCCGCACCTCGCCAGCGGGTGCCCGCTCGGCTGCGGGGAGTGACGCGCCGTGCGGGGGAGGGGGTTCGGGACCGGGGCGCCGCCCAGTCATACTTCACACACGCTGGGCGGGACGTTCGACATTCATGTATGCAAGTCCGTCGGTTTTGGGTTCAGGCCGCAGCGACCGCCGCTGCGTGGGCCCGCTTCTGTGGACCGGTTTTCCGCGCGGCCGCCCTTCAATGATTATTTTCCCCACTTCTTTTCTCTTCACTTGGTGGTTGCCGGAGCGCGCGCGTCTGCCGTACCTGCACAGGCGAGCGGCGATGTGCCCCCCCTCCTCTCCCCCACCCCCCAGCGGGTACCTTCACCTGCGCCGCCTTGGGTTTCCTTTTCTTCTCACTGTGTCTCCCCTTCCGCAGGTAGCCGGCGAGGTTGTGGGCGGCAGGGGACGCAGCCCGGTTGCAGCGTGCGGGCGTGAGTGGCGTCCCTTTTTTTGTTTCTCTTCTGCCTGCGGAGCGAACATGCAGAACCAGCCTGAAGATCTCGCCGAGCTGCAGCGGCGGTACGCGTTTTTGGCTAACGTCACCTCGTCGAGCCTCGAGCACATTCGCCTCGTCGCCGAAGATGCGTTGAGAGAGCGGCACGAAGCGGGGGAGCTGCCGGCGTGGTCGCGTGGGAACGACGGGGCCCTTCGTGAGCTCCTGGATGCCGTGGAGCGGGCGAAGCGCGATGTGCAACTTGCCAGCGCGTTTTCGGCGACCGCGGCTCCGCCAGTGAAGGGGGCGGGGCCATCGGCGGTGCCTGACATTGCCGACAGCGACAGGGACGAGCGGGCTCGCGCGGAGGAGGTTTCCAGGGCGCATCAGTTGGCCCGCGTTCTGCAGGAGCGGAACACCATCAAAGCGAGTCTCATGAACGTGGAGGGAAACTATGCTTCGCTGCAGCGCAAGTTTAGCGCTGTGTCGGAGGAGCACAGCCGGCTGCTGCAGGCGCTGACGCGTACCGGAGCCGCGGACGCCAGCGCGGGGGACGCAGCTGCGGCGCTGGCCGATCCGCGGAATGCGCCTCTGGAGGTGGTGAAGGAGGCCATGCGACAGCTGTACGATCGCCGGGTGCGGGTGCTGGAGGAGGAGCTGATGTCTGCACGGGAGGAGGTGCGCCGGGTGGGGGCTGAAGGCGGCGAGGGCAGGACGCGTCAGAGGAGGGTTGCCGCCGCGAAGCTGCAGGAAGTGGGGGGATGCGTGGGCTCTGGCAGGACGTCGAGTGCCGGCGGAGAGCGCGAGGACAGCAAGGAGGGGCTGCGGCGGCAGAACACGTTTTTGCGAAATAAGTTGGCGCTGCTGCGGGAGGAGCTTCACGTCAGCCAGCAGGCCGCCACTGGCTCTGCAGAGCAGACGCGTGAGGGCTTGGGTCGCCTGCTCACGACAATCACGGGGCTTCGGCAGGAGGTTGCGGCGAAGGAGCGGCAGCGGGCCGCCGCAGTGCTTGCGCAGGAGGAGGCAACTCAAAAGGCGGAGCAGTTGGCAGCGCGCGTGGCGGCGTTGGACCGTCGCTCGCCCAAAGCGGCGTGTGAGGCGCGGCGTGGCACGGGCTTCGATGGGGCCCCTCCCACACTCGCGGCCGCGCTTGCGGAGAGGGAGGCGGAGTTACGGCAGTTGCAACGGGACGTGAGCGAGCGTGAGGTTCGCGTGGGCCAGCTGACGCGCGTCCTCGCCAAGACCCAGGAGCTCCTGCGGGAGAAGGAGGGGATGCAGGCAACGCTGCAGCTGAAGGCGTCGGAGGCGCAGGGGATGTGGGAGGCCGCGCAGGCGCAGCTGCAGCACACGCGCGTGCAGGAGACGGCGCTGGCGGGACTCGAGCAGGCGGTGCGTCACGCGGTGGCGGAGCTGCGGCGCCTGCACCTCCGCGCGCTGGGCGACGAGGCCCCGGCGGGCGGCAGCGACGGTGGCGCGGAGGCCCACCTCAGCGGCGCGCTGCAGCGGCGTCTCGACGGCATCCTTGAGCGACTGCGGGAGCTGGAGTGGCTGGAGCTGCAGCTGCGCCAGCGAGACGACGCAATCGTTGTCCTGCAGGACGAGAAGGCGGAGCTCGAGGAGCGAAGCCGGCACCTGCAGCAGACACTGTCCAACCTCTCCCCGCTTTTCCACGCCATACCGCAGACCCCGCTGCAGGTGGAGCAGCTGGTGCTGCAGCGCGATGCTTTGCTCGCCGCCTTGCGCCGCTGCGAGGAGCTCGCCGTGGTGCCGAACACGAGGGAGACACTCAGGAGCATTGAACTGCGAGAGATTGAGTTGGCGGCGCGTCAGTCGGTGCGGCGGCGTTCCCCGCAGTGCCGCCCGCAGCTCCAGCAGCGCGCCGCCAACTCTCCCGCCGCTGCCTCGCCCGACGCCGCTCAGGCGGCCGCCCCGCCGGGGCGTGGGAGGTCGGAGGCCCGTTTGTCGTGCCGATCCCCGTCCATCGTTGTTGAGGAGCAGGAGCAGGAGGCGCCGGCGGGGGGCTGACGTGCGCCGCCCCCTGCTCCTCAACTCCTTCGCCGCGGCGGTGGCGGGAGTGCCGCACTGGCGCAGCGAAGCAGCAGAAAAGCGTGGCGGCAATTAAATCCGGCGGCGGCCACGCGCTTTCCATCGCCTCGGCTGGACGGAGACGGCCTGCGCCCCAGCCAGCCGCTGCGGTGTCGGTTGACTCACCCGTGTTGTGTGCCACCGTTGTCTTGCGCTCGTCGCGCGGATGTGACGTGGCCGCCGGTTTTTTACTGTATCATCAGCTTATTAGTATCGACCGCGCAGCGCGGCAAGGAAGGATAAACAAAAGTGTGTGTGGAGGGGGGGGAAAGGAAAAAAAAACGAGGAGGTGGGGCTTCTTTCCCGTCTCCCTGGGCCGTATATGCTTCTTGCGCGTGTGTGCCAGGCGGCATCCACCGTCTGATTTGTTCCTCCGCCCCCGCCTTCCCTGCTCACTGCCTTCTTCCTTCTCTCTTTCTCTTTCATTTTTTCTTTTACGTTTTTTCCCTTATTCTTCTCCCCCCGTGCCCACGCCTAGAGTGTCTTTTTTTTCTTGCTTTTTGTTCCTCTTCACTCCGTTTAATTCACCGTCGCGCCACACCCCTTCCGTCACGCAGCAGCGGCATCGTTTGCTGTGGACTTTCTTCGTCGCTTTTCTTTTTTCCCCTTCGTGCCGGCGGTCTCCCGCTGCACCTCCCGCGCACTTCGCACACCACTCGCCACTCGCGGCGCGCGCAGCGGGTACACTGTGGGGGGCGGGCAGCGGGGCAGCAGCAGCAGCGGCGCGTGCACGAACTGAGAGGGGCAGCGACGAAGGGAGAAGATGGGGAAGCCGCCGTCGTTCGAGGCGCTGGGCGTGCATCCCACGCTAGTGGCCGCGTTGCGGCGAATGGGGGTGCAGCCGACACCGTTCCAGGCGCGCGTGTTGGCCACCACGGCGGGTGACTTCGCAGACGTCATGGTGGACGGGCGGGCGGCAGGCGGGGCGAGCGCTGGCGGCAGCAGCGGCGGGGTTGCCGGCGCGGAGGGCAACGCGAGCTCGCGCGCAGTCACGGCGGAGCGGCACGCGCTCATCACGATCTTCGCCACGCACTGTGTGCTGAGTGCGAAGGACCCCTCGCGCAGCACGGCGGTCGTGGTTGCGAGCAACAAGGACTGCGCTGCCCAGCTGCAGAAGAGCATGAAGGCCTTCGCCTCGCAGTGCCACATCGACTTTCAGATGGTGACGGCCGAGGGGCAGCAGCCGCCGCCGCCGCCGCCGCCGGTGGGGGGCGACAGCGGCGAAAAGGGGCCGTCCGCGGCGGCAGCCTTCGCGTCGAAGGGCGGGCGCGTGTTGATCACCACCCTGCGGGTGCTCCACGCCTGGGGCAGGGAGTTCCTCCGGTCCGTTACGACCCTCGCCGTGGAGGACGTGAGCCGCGCCAACGAACGGCAGCTGGAGGAGGTGCTGCGGCTGCTGACGGCCGCTTCGCCGTCGCCCAGCGCGGCGGGGTCGGGCCACTGCGCGAACAACCTCACGGCGTCGCGGCACACGGCAAACGTCTTCCTCATGTGCCTCGCGCCGCTGACGAAGGTGGGAGTGGGGGTTCGCTACCACCTGAGCCGCAGGAGCCGGCGCTACTACCACCTGCAGGGCCCTTCCGCCGCGGTGGGGCCGACGCTGCCGACGGCCTCCGGCACCCTCCCGCCCTCGTCGACGCAGTTGGTGCACCTCCTCTACCTCGACGAGCGGGATCGCGAAGAGCTTCTTCGCCGTGTGTTGCTGACGTACCAATCGCGTCGTGTGGTGCTGCTCACGCATCATAAGGAGATAAAGCACCTGCACCAGACCATAGCCAAGTGGGGCTTGTATCATACGACGAGCGACGCAAACAACAAGGGGACGGATTACATGTGTTGCATGCTGCGCTCTGACACTGCGGAAAGGCAGGAGTCTTCCTTTATGGGGTTTCTCCGTGAGGCGAAGACCAGCCCCAACAGCGCTGGCAGTGCTAACAGCGGTGACAACAATAGCTCTTTCTCTGCATTGCTGGTCAGCTGGGACGCCTTTACCGCGGTGGATCTCATGGACGTGGATGTCTTTATCCAGTACTACCCACCACAGAAGTCCCTCACAGAGCGGGAGCGGGCGGAGTTTGTTCAGGTGCTGCACACCACAGCGGACCCCGAGAGCAGTCGCCGTGGACGTCGCACGCTGCTCATCACCTTCCTGGCCATCAACGACTTCACCCTCGCCGCCTTCTTCATGCAGCAGTACGGCCAAAGCGGCCCCATCCTTAACCTCGCCGCCAACCACCCGGACTTTCAGCGATGCCTCCTCGACCCCAAGACGGTGTTGCGGATAAAGCAGAAGAAGGAGGGCGGCCGGCGTCAGAAGGACCGCGACGAGGGCGGCCAATACCCCAACGCTAGTGGCGGCGCCAGCGGTGGCGTGGCGGCGAGTGCACCGGTGCCGCTGCCTCGCTCCATGCGGCAGCCGTCTCCCGGGGGCCGCAAGGACAAGGAGCAGATCACAGGCGGCGGGAGCGGCAGGGGCAATGCCGCTGCTGCCGGCTACGGCGTCGGCGGTGTTGTTGCTGACGGCAGGCCGCGCTCTGGCGGAAGGTGGGGCGGCGAAGGCCGACAGCAGCGTGCCGGTGGCGATGACGCGGTGAGCGGCGCCAGTTCTGCCTGCGTGTCGCCTCCGTCGGCGGATGCCCGTTGAGCGGGGCGAGGCGCCTGCGGATGATGCGTGCCGGCTGACGGCGTGGGGGCCACCGGCGGGCAGGCAGGGGCGTGTCCGTGCGTGTGTGGGTGTGTGTGGGAAAGGCAAGTAATGGAAAAACTGGATGGCAGATAAGCGACAAAATCAAAGGAAGTAAAACAGAAAAAAAAAAGGCGATGGGAACACTGCAAAACGAACAAAAACAAACAAACAAAAAAAATGAAAGGAGAAACAGACAAAATAAAAGAAAAAAAACAACAAAAAAAAGGGGAAGAAAAAACGAGAGCAGAAACACAGGAAGGAATGCCGAATCGTTGGCCATGCTGCTTTTCTCTTTTTTTTTTTCTCTCTCTCTGTGTGTGTATATGGGTGTTTCTCTACCGCTCACCGCCTGCCAGCGTTCCGGGGCTCCCCCACGGGGGACTGTTGTCACAGCGGGTTCGTCCGCCGTACACGCGGGCGGGCAGGAAACTCGAAGGCGGCCGCCGGTGGACGATGTGGGCGAGGAGACCAACGAAAACGCGTAGACTGCATAAGTTATGTATGTACCATGTGGTCGGGGGCGGCGCCAGAGTCTGCCGCCTCGCACAGGCACACGCACGCGAAAAGAAAAAAAAACGGCAGGCAACAAACGAGGGCAGTGCGTGAGGGCCCGTGCGCGCGCGTGTGTGGGGCACAGTGCCGAGGCCCGGGGTGCCGAGGGGTGCGGGAGGTCGCGGCTCGGCAGCGCCTTTTTTTTTTTTGATTTATTTATTATTGTTATTATTATTATTTTTTTTTTGTTCGTGGAGGCGAAGTGCGGCGCGGGGGGCCGCAATCCGGACGAGGCCACGTAAAAAAAAAAAAGCGAAAAAAAAAAAGAAGAACCGCGTATTTGAGTGCGGCTGCAAATTTCCGCCCACCCGCCCAGACACGCACGCACACACACAAAAAAAAATGAAAAGAAGAAGAAAAAGAGGGAAAAGCGGCGGTGGTGTGAGGTCGAAGGGGAGTGCGTGAAGGAGGAGGGCCGCCAAAAGCTTAGGAGGGAGACGTGCGGCGAGCGGGGGCGGTAGAGGGCTTGAAGCGGCAATCCAGCCTATTAGAGGGAGAGAGAGGGAGGGAGGGAGAGAGCAAAAACAAACGGACAAAAAAAAGCAAACACCGAAGCGAACCAAGTAGAGAGCCAAAGAAGGGAGTTGCGCGGTATGAGCGCGGCGAGACGCTGTGAGGCTGTCATTGGCGTTGCTATCGCCCCTTTCGTACCGCGTGCGGCTGTCCTCTCTTTTTCTCGCTCCTCGCGCATCTGCATCTTGGTATACGAGGGCAGAGAAAGGAAGAAGAATAATGCAAAGAAAAAAAAATGTCCTCTGGAAAGTGCAGTGGGTGGCGTGCATGCATCATACGCGTGTACGAGTTTCTTCCGTTGTTGTTGTTGTTTTTTGGTTTGCCCTTTTTGTTTTGTTTGTGTGCTCACGCATGCGCGCGCCTGCTGCGTGCAAGGGCGTCCCTGCGGGGAGGGGCGGGGGGATGGCGGTGGCATCTCTTTGCTTTTTTCCCCTCTGCCTGCTTACTGCCAACAGCCCCCGCTGCCGCACGGTTCCACCTCCCCTACCCCTTTCTTTTTTTTTCGCGTTTTTTTTTTCTTCGCCGCGCCTTCGCCTTGACAGGCCTGTGGTTCTTTCTGCCAATTTTTCTTCTTGTTTTGACCTTCTTGTTTTGCCTGCGGCAATCCACGCGTGTGCGTGTGCCCTCCGAGCGGGGGTCGTGGTGATTGTGGCGGCGTGTGTGGGGGATTTGGGCGAACTACTCTCCCGCGCACGCCCGCACTTACGCATGCGCCCGTACGCTGTTTGTTTCTGCTGCGGCCGCCTGCCGTTTTTTCCTTTTTTTTTTGTCTTGGCGCCGTCACCCTCTCGCCGTTGACTCCCCTTTGGCGCCGTGGCGTCCGAGGGGGGGCGGGGGCGGGAGCCTGCGCACGCCGCGTGTCTCTCGCTCCCTCTCCCTGTGCCTCGGGGAAAATGCGGGGGAGGGCACGACGGAGGGGGGGGCGCCGCACCGGCGCAAGTGAAGAACAGGGGAAGCGAACAAACAAACAAACAAGCAAACAAAAAGCAAACGAAAAAAAGAAAAAAAAAGAAAATTAAAATATCTCAAGAGTTGAAAAAAAGAGACGTTGGGTAGCGTGCCTGTGCGCCAGGTTGACGGCCATGGGGACGCGGCACACTGCCCCCGCCTCCTTGCACTCCTTCCAATTTACTTTCCCTCTCTCCCTGTGTGTGTGGGTGTGTGTGAATGTGTCCTTTTGGTTTTATGGCTTATGCTTAAACGTCTGCATGTGGGTGTATATATACATATATATGTGCGTGTGTGTATATGTGCATATGCGTTTATCTATGTATCTATATCATTCTCTCTCTTGATATATATATATATACATATATATACACACACATTGTACATATGCATATATGTCTCCCCGCGCAGGTACATCAGGATCAGTCCAGCCGACCCCGCTCTGTGTTCTCTCTTTCCAGCGGTGCAGTTACCATGGATGCTGCCTTTGTCGCCACAGTTCCTGCGGGGGAAAGTATGAAAAAAACCAACGGAAAAGGGGACGTTTTTGTTTCTCCCCCTTCTTTTTGTTTTTGTTTTTCTCTTACTTTCTGTCTGTGTGTCTTGTTTTTGGGCGCCCCCTTCCTTCCAGATTCCTCCGCCTTTGTTATTCTGCGGCTGCGTGGAGGGCTGCAGGATCTCTTTGCCTGCCGCTTCCACCCCTCCCCCCCACGGGTCTTGGGAGAGGACGGGGCGAGGGAGGGAAAACACGCGGTTTTCGCATGTTCGCTCTCCTCCGACTTCTTTGTTTTCTTCTGACGCGCCCGCCGCCGCTCCTTCAGGGGGCGGCCGGGGGAGGGAGCGGAGAGGGAAACAACGCCCTCAAAAAGGACGGCGGCGGCGGAGGTGTAACGCACGGCTGCAGCGGAGAGCACCGTGGCGGGCACTGTTTTTTTTGTTTGTGTGTGCGGGGCGGTGGCGGGTTGTGGGTGGGGGGAGGCGGAGGTAAATGCCGCGAACCCGCCTCCACGGCGCACGCGGCTCTCCCTCCCCAGCCTCTCCCCTTACGCCCCCCCCGTCCCCGTCCCTCCCGCGCCTTCTGTATCTCGCTAAGTATAAAATAAGTAAGGCGCACGTGTGTGCGCGTAGCATGTGCGTGTAGCATGTGCGTGTAGCATGTATGGGTGTAGGGGGAGTGCGTCTGCTGCTGCCGCCGCCTCCCGCCGCCTCCCACCCCGCCCCGCCCGGTCATCATCCATTACCAACGGTTGATATCGTTCATCATCTTTTTTTTTGTGCGGACTCCTATCACTGACGTTGATGTTTTTTCCCCCCCCCCTCGTCGTGTTTTCTTGCGTAATGTATACTGTTATTTTCTTGGCTTTGGTTCTACGGCTGAGGGCGCGTGACGCGCGCAGCGGCGGGGCGGGGGAAAATGCACGGAACTGCGACAGGCACACGGCACCCGCCCAAAGTCACTGCGTGCGTGGCGCTTCACCGCCCACGAGAAAAGATCGAAAACAAAAAATGGGATGGGGGAAAAAAAAGAAAGACCGAAAAGAAAAGGAGAATTAAAAGAAACAACAACAACAACAACGAAAGAAAGAAGGAACGCCCCAACCCCCAGGAATCAGAGGAAGCCCAAGCGATGGAAGGGCCCGCCGCTGCGGGAGGGGAGGGGAGGGCGGGCGGGAGGGCGGTGTCGGTTGGTTGGTTGATATATTTGATTGTTTCCTCCTTTTGGCGGGGACTTTGCCTCGGCACCGCCCAAGTGCGCTGTGCGCGGGGGCGCAAAGTCGCCGTCTGCTGCCCGCGTCTGCGTCGCTCTTCTCGTTGCGTCTGTGTTGGGGGGTGGATCTGTTCTTCTCGTCGTCTTTGGCGGCGCCCATGTATAACCAGTAGAACACGGACGTTTGCAAGCGCCAGCAGTAGCAGCAGCAGCCAAGCCACACACACACATACACACACTCGTGTGAATTGCAGTGAACAGCAGGGCCCCACGCATCCCAATGGGCGCCCACTCCGCCACCACCGACCCGCAGGCGGCGCTCCTGCAGCGGGTGGAGGAGGGGCTGAAGGCCTTCAACGAGGCAAACAAAAACTACATTGCGGCGGTGCGAAAGGTCGACAGCGCCCTCGAGGAAATGGCGGTGGCCTTCCGTCAGCTGTCCTACGGCGAGATGCCGCCGGACCTCCGCGGCGCAGTGGACACCTTCGGCTCGACCGTGGCTCTCCACCGCGGCGCCGCCGCAGCGACGGGGAAGGGCCGCAACAGCCTCAGCGACAGGCTGGACGGAAAGGAGTACGCCATGGTGCAGTACGTCGACGACTTCGTGAGGAACGTGGACAGCCTCGGAGACAGCCTCAAGTCGCTGACGAAGCTGACGCGGGTGAAGCACGAGGAGCAAGAGAAGGTGGATAAAAAGTACAACGAGGCCCGCGCCAAGACAGAGAAGATCGCCGCAGCGGACGTGAAGAAAAACCGCAACTCCGCTGAAAACCCCGACTACGTGAAACACGTTAGCAAGCGTGACACCCTCCGGAAAGAGCTAACGAAGAAGGAAGAGGAGTTGACGAAGGTCTGCCGCGAACTGCAGGAGCGCCGCGTAGAGGCCATAGGAAAGGCACTGAGCGCAATGGGCGAGCTCTCCTCGCGGTACTGGTCGGGGGTGGCGCAGGTGATGCGAAGCGCCGAGGCCGCACAAATCCATGGTGTTTAGAGGAAGAATGACGCCTGTCACTTTCTGCCAGGCATAGGAGTTTAACCGGCAGGCTGCACAGTGAGAGGATTGCCTGGCGGACGCGTGCGATCGTTTGGGGGTGGTTGGGGGATACAGTGGGCAGAGGGTAGGGGAACGATGGAATAAAATAAATATATATATATATATATACCGTATGCATTTACACATCTCTATATGCGTACTTGTTTGTATTTCTCTGTGTCTGTGTGCACCTGTGCGTGCGTGCCGGTACGTATTGAGGCAGAAACCGAGGGAAGAAGGCGTGCTGTGTTGTAGTGACGTCGCTTTGTCGCTTGTGCCCATCTGCTCACCTTATTACTTCCCGCATTCATGCACGGTTTCCCCCCACCCCCAATTGTAGCTCAGAGCACGGCGGACGAGGTGCAGACGGGAGCAAGCAAGTAGGAAAAGCAGCAGCGGCGGCGGCTTCACATAAAGTGCTTCCGTCACCAGTGCGGTGTGTGTGTGCGTGTGTGTGCACCCGTGAGGCCTAGAGAGGCATCTGCGCACACTACCAGGCGTCCCGGAACGCGCCAATACACGCGGTCAGATGCCAAAATCCAAGGAGGCCCCCAAGGAGCTTGCCGAGGTGAAGAGGAACCTCGAGCAAGTTGAGCGGTCACAGAAGGCGCTCAGTGATATTGAGGGCAATCTGAAGAAGTATCTGGGGGCCACAATGAAGATGATGGGGTGCCTTGACAGCACCGGAAAATGCATTCAGGACGCGACGGCGGCGATGACAGTACACTTGGAGGAGCGCCGGCAAAGTGCCTTTTGCCGTGAGCAATGCATGCCCGTGGACACCCTGCACCAGGTGGCAAGGCTGCTGGCGTCGGCGATACGCGACCTGCAGGACGGCAGCGCGCTCGCCATGTACAAGGAGACCCTGCACAAGCACATTTTTAGCCATATGGGCCGACTGCGGAAGTCGGCGAAGGAGTCCTTAGGGGCGGGGCGGGCGGCGCTTTCGCTCCTGAAGAAGCAGCAGGACAAAGACGCCGTCGTCGCGCGGAAGGAGAAGAAGTACGCCAAAATGAATAAGAGCCTCACTGAGAGCAAGCGATACGAGAAACAAGTGAAAGACCGCGACAAGGCCCGGAGTGCGGCGGAGGCGCAGGTGAGGAAGTTTAATAATTTGTACAGCTCCCACATGGAGAGTGTGGAGGCGCTCGAGGGCGATTTCATGGACAGCTTCATCGACGCCAACGCCCTGCTGCTGCAGCAGGCAAGCGGAGCCTTCATCACCGTTGGGGAGGACGCGCTGCGCGCGTACCCGCAGCTGGCGGCGGTGCTGGTGCGTACCTCCGGCCGTGCAGCGCCGCGCGCGGTGAACGGCGGATCGCCCCCGACGAGGAGCTCGCGGCTGAAGATGGAGGAGGACAGTGCGGGCGCGTGGGCGAACGGCGACGCCGCAGAGAGGCCGAATCTGGAGACGGAGCCGTTGGCTGAGGACCCCGCGCCGGGTAACCAGTACCTCCTCAACTACGCCGAGGCCGAGTCGAGAGCCTCGACGGTCAACGATGCCCATGAGCAGCCTCTGACAAATCACAAGCCCCCCGAGGCGCGGGAGGCCCCGCATGCACCCGACCACTTCGACGCTGCGGTCAGCGACGCCCATGAGCAGCCCTTCACACAACTCCAGCCCTCTGCACCACATGAGGCCCTGCATGCACCCGACCACTTCGACGCTGCGGTCAACGACGCCCATGAGCAGCCTCTGGC